GATGGCCACTTGTTTACCTTCAAGCCTTTAAGACCCCAGACACTATATCTTTTGATAGACGGGCACCATTAGCTTTCTTTACCACATTTACTTATGCACCCATTTGTCTTCAGTGTTCATATCGGGGAGGTGAGCACACAATGATATGATTTTTTGTTCTTTGATGCCTGATAACTGATCCCTCCGCCACCTTGTGATCACGCAGGCAGGTGTGCTTCTTCCATGTGGGTTTTGTTGCTTCTGAGGTAAATGGCTGCTTGTTTACCTTTAAGCCTTCAAGACCTCAGATGCTATATCTTTTGATAGCCGGGCACCATCAGCTTTCTTCGCCACACATGCTTATGCACCCGCTTTGTCTTCAGCGATTGTGTTGGGAAAGTTAGCATCATGGAATGGCAGTTTAATAGAACAAAGTATTCTTGCATTGAGGGAGTACTTGAGTGGAGACCCAATGTCCATCTGCTACTTTAATACTACACCTATACATATATGCACATAGATTTATTTCCACATCCTCATAATAAATATATTTACATATATACATGCCTTTATTTAGACCTCTATATAGGTATGTCTCCATTTTCTAAGATCTACTTTTTCATCTCGTCCAGGCCCCAGATGGCCTACTGTGGGGCTCTTGTTTCAATATGGAGGAGGGAACGTTTGTGATATCTGGGCAGCTTAATGCTACTTGCTTCTTCCCACCCTCCCGTCCTCTTCCATGGAGCCCACACCCAGGACAGATGTGCTCTAGAAAGTGGCTGAAGCTCCTGTCTCATTTTATAAGGCTTTTGTCACCTTCCTTTTCAAACCTCTGTTTTCCATGGTTTGTAACTGCTTTCTAGTTGGCATGTGTTCCCTCTGCCTCGCCCGTTGGGATCTCTCTGGCCCCTGTTTGGGTTCTTCTGAAGATACTTGTCTTAGATGACTACCCACAGCTCTAGCGCTGTGGAAGCATGGTATGCAACCTCAGCTACCAAATTGCTTCTCCAAGGACCAGGTTAGCTACTTCTAGAGGGAATATGTAAATAAGCAAAGGATTGTTCTGTCGACACCCCCCACCCTCCAAGCCCATTGTCATATTCACGATAGGCCTCCATGCTGCTGAATGTGCTGTGGGTCCACAGGACCCTAACCGAACAGTTCATCAAGTCAATACCAGACTGTGTGGGAGTTGTTCCTACCTAGTTCCTTGGTGAATGGTAGCAGTTTCCAAGTCTCCTCAAAGAGCAGACCCTCATTGTTGCTGGTGCCTCTCCAGGGCCTCTACCTAAACAAGCCCAACATGTTGAGACAATTCAAGCACCACTGGGTCTGGAACTACATGCAGGCGCTCCCTGGCAAAGGTGAGGTCATCCAGGGGCTGGTTTTGCCAACTTTCAAGGCACACCTTTCAACGGCATCTGGTCTGGTCCTCCTTATAGTACTTTGGAAACCTTGTGGTTTACCTGTTTTGGTTGGTGGTTTTGTACATATAATCAGCCAAACTGCCCTCATAAATTGCATTCTCCATTTGAAAGCTGGTGAGATTTTTCCCAATCTTAAGTGTCATCCTCTCTTCCTCTGTAGTTGCAGGGAGATCACCACAGTGCCGCTAGTAATGAAACCTACCAGGAACGCTTGGCCCGTCTAGAAGGCGACAAGGAGTCTCTCATATTGCAGGTGGGTCTTTCTGGTGAGAACCAGCTTATTTTGTTACCTCTAGTTCGTAGCTTCTCCAGAGTGGGAAGGAAGGGCAAGGGGCTCTCACTGTTGGGTTTATCCTGCCCCAGAGGATGTTGTTAAAAAAGACATTTCCTGAAATGAAATTGAAAGTAACTTGGGGAATAATTGGGTTTGACTTTGGGGGCCTGTGGATCTATCCATTTCTTTATCATGCATTAGCAAGCATCTGCAAACTGGCTGCTCTGTAGACAGATGGGTTGCTGGGTGCTACACACTGAGCTGCTAATCACAGGGTCAGCTGTTCGAACCCACCAGCTACTCCTCAAGAAAAAGATGAAGCTGCCCGCTCCTCTGAAGATTTAAAGTCTCAACAGTCCCACAAGGGCAGCTCTACTTTGTGCGACAGAGTCACTGTGAGTGAGTCAGAATCCGCTCCATGGCAGAGAGATTAGAACCTGCCATCGAAGGTTCTTAGGAAGGAGATAAGATGTGTCCTTGGTTCACCAATAAAGCGGAGCCATGTTTCATATCTGCTAGGGTGAATGCTAACAGGATCAGGTCTAAAATTGCTAGAACTGGGTCTAGACTAATTGCTTTGATGTCAAATCCCCAGGAGCTGGTAATGTGGATAGACTGTCCCATGACTCCTGCTTTAAAGAGAGGAACTGTAAAACTTTCACTGGTGAACTACAACAGGATTCTTTTTTACTGCTGAAAGCTTATATTCCCTACTAAATTAAGGATTCCAATGGAAAACCTGTCGCTGAAGCAGGGGCTCTTTGCTGTGGGAACCCTGAGATTCATTTTCTCAAGTTACAGTATGTCTCAGACACTGAGTGGCAACTGAGAGACCAAAGATTAATATCCTAGTCCCAGCTCTGTGAAAAGCTCTGGAGATGGTGGACAAGACCGGTAGTTGGCTGAAGAGGGCGCAGAGAGGGTAGAACTTCCGCAGCCTCTGGCCTTAGCTTAGGGGCACTGAAGTGGTGTCATCGCCTTGTTGGTTTGTGTTTCCTTCTCTTGCCCTTATTTCTCGGAAACACTTTATGAACATAAAAATCAATGATAATTTTAGAAACTTTGGAGAGCCTAAACGTTTAAAGAAGCAAATTTCTCCCTCTGCCCATCTTTCCCTTTTGCCCTTTTTTCCCCCATTTTATATTAATTGGGTTCACATACCAAATATTTAATTTTGCTGCCTTGTGTTTTCTTCCACGGATTAGTTCATTTTAAAATATTGGAATGTCCACAGATGGCTGGCTCCTGGTTTCTGTTGCTGGGCATGCAGCAGCGAACAGTCAGATCCTGCTCTTACAAAGCTACAGTTCAGTTGGGGGTTGGGGTGGGGTGGGGCCAGTGGAGGGCGGGAGGGAGAGGTGAGAGGAAGGCTGAGTGGTAAACAAACCACATACATACGTAAATACATCAAGTGGTGAGAAGTGCCATGGAGAAACTAAAGCAAGACCACTCTGATAGGAAGAGACCCCAGGAAGCTGGGCTAGGAGCTAAAAGAACACCGGAGAAGCAAGCACATTCCTGGCAGAGGGGGCTGTCAGTCAGGAGGCTTTCAGGTAGGGTATGTTGTTTGTGTGTAAAGAACAGCAGAGGGGGGCGGGGGGGCGGGGCATTGTAGGTGGAGTGGCAACTTTGTGGGAGCTGCCATCAAAGAGAGAGCAGGAGCCAGAGTTTATAGCCCACGATGACACAGATGTTCAGAGGGAGGTGTCATTGGAAACGTCACCCCAATGACATGATTGATGGAAAGGGGTTCTGCTTAGCATTTTGCCGCAGAGAGTATGAACTGGACAGCTTTTTGAAGCAGGACCCGCATGGTTGAGTCACTGTGTTCCTTTTTAGAGAGGATTCATTACAATTTGATTTTTACAAAAAAGGAGCCCTCTGTTTTATTCTCATGGACATTCTTCTTTAAAAAAAGTGTAAAAATCAAAATTAAAAACTTGAATTTTTCAAGAATCCTTATTTAAATAACCCTAGTGTAATTTGGACATTTCGTAGCAGAAATCTCAGAAGTTGGCCTAGTGGTTTCTAGTCTGTCAGGAGATTGTGGACAGACTTTCGGAGTTGTTCATCCGTGCGAGTGCTTCCGCCTTTTCGTAGTGGCGGGTGGAGCTGGTTATGCAGATTGTCAGCATGGTAATGCCTCTTGCTTAATTCTCACTGTAACTCATCCACACTGAATTAATTGGACCCCTTGACCCAGATTTCTTTTCCCCAGGGTCTTTTCCTTCAGAGAACAAAGCAAATCACACTTAACAGAATGCTTTATTTCCAGGACAAAATAAATTGTTATAATTGATATAACTTCTTAAAGGAAGGATTTTCCTTTCCCCCACTCAATTTCCACTCCAGGCCCAAAATTATCCTTAGTTCATAGTAGAGACTCAACCAGTATTTTCAGTATTTGCATTTATTTATTGAAGGTCACATTTAAGGATGTTTATATATCTTGACCCCATTTTCACAGGTCTACATTCATAGTACTTGCAGACTAAGGTTAATGAAGACCTGCAGCTTTTTGTGGCTTGATTCTGACTAGTGGCTGAACTATGGACTGTAGAATACTGTGGACTCTACGGAGCACAGACCACTGATACTGCCAGGGCATGACTGTAAGACATGAGGCTGGTGCCCACGTGTTAATTCTAATAAGAATAGCCAGACCCCAGGGAGCAGAGCCCACCCTCCACTCGCTGCATCCCACCCTTTTGAACAGTGAAGTTAGTAGATGCCAAGGACAGGAATAGTGTAATGCAACAAGGCTTGACTCACAAGGGTTTGTGTTTAAGATGAACCTACTTGACAAAAGTAGCCTATATTGGATTAAATTGGAAATCTCAGTTCACACCATGCCTCAGCTCCAGGGATATGCTTCAGTATTTCATTAACCACTAGGGAACTTGAAAATAGAAATTTTAACGTTGCTGTGGTAATTTAGATTAGTTTCTTTTTAAATAGGTGCTTTTATAATTCATAAAGTTGATTTAAACACTTATAAATGAATTTATATTAACTCTTTCATGGGTCTGCCTTTGAGTCCCTGGGTGGTGCTAGCCGTTAACTGTGTTCACTTGCTAACCTAAGAGTTTGGTGGCTTGAGTCCTTTCAGAGGTACAGCAGAAGAAAATCAGCCTTTGAAAACCGCCAACTAATAAAATCATATTTTCCCCAAACACGGCACATGGTTCTCCTGACACACATGGGGTTGCCTGAGTTGTAATAGACTCAGTGGCAACTCCTCCTGATATTTTTCCTCTACTGACTGAGCAAAGATTTAGGCTGATCTGTGGGTAAGTGGCCATCACTCAATCATTGGTTAAAAACCAGAGTTTAAAGGATTTTACTTTACCAACACATGATTGCTTTGTGGGTGGGGGCCCTCTATCTTCCTGTTTTAAGGCAGCTCCTTTAGAGAGAGAGAAAAAAAGAAAGGAAATGAAGAATAAAGAAGGAAAAAAAGAGAGAAAAACAGAATCATAAAGCAGTTTCCTAGTAGAGAAGGCTCCAAAAGCTCAATGTGTATTTATGGCATGCTTTCAATGACTATTGTAATTGATTCTTTAATTAATTGATAATTCCGATTGAGATTCTCAGTGTTCTTCAGAAGGATGACTGTTTCCCCTGCCGTGGTATGTGTAATGTGGCTTCTGTATACTTAGGACTTAGAGTCATGTTTTGGCCTGTAAAGCACAAAAACTTTTCTAGAGTCAAGTTTTGTCGTTGCTAATACATGCCCTTTACGTCTGACATTCTTTAGTTGTTCAAAACACTTGCCTGATAGGCAAGCAGTCCTCACACCCTTATGAAAGAGGTAAGGCCATTGGTTAGTTTACAGAGAAGTTTGTCTTACTCTACCCCATGAGGTGGCAGAAGTTCTGGCAAGCCGGCTGAGATGTGCCTTGAGATTGGGGCCAAGTGAAGCCTATTAGAGGAACCAGGAACAGGCCAGCCCAGAGGCAGAGAGCTCTCTTGGCTGCTGGGTGTTTTCCTTGAGTCTGTCAAGGACCAGAAATGTGACTAACATCGTTTAGGCAGTGGTCTAGATGCCCCCTGGCAAGGTAAGAACCCACCTGAATTTCCCCTCATCCGGGTCACCTTCCCTACCGTGCAACAGAAGTCATTCTTCACGTGTGAGGCTCAGTGGTGTGGCGTCACAGAGAAGGATTCCTGCCCCCAGCAGAGTTTCTGCTTCTCCACCTTTGTTTTATTTCCTGGCACAGGTGAGTGTTCTCACAGACCAAGTGGAAGCCCAAGGAGAGAAAATCCGGGACCTGGAAGTATGTCTGGAAGGACACCAGGTGAAACTCAATGCTGCTGAAGAGATGCTTCAACAGGTCAGTGCAGGTGTGGCTAAAGGAAGGCCCTTGGGTTCTGACCTGTTGATGTGTTGAAGTCCCTCTTTGTGTCTGGGTTACAGCTCGTGTTGCTGTACTTTCCTATCCTGCAGGAAGTGGGATTGGCTGCTCAGTGTTCAGTTGTTTATGCAGCAGGTGAAACCAGCTGGAGCATCGAGAGCGGCAGGGGTTGGGGGTGGAGCAGGAGAATAACCTGTTGAGCTGGTTAGACAAATTAACAGGACACTTTCTTTCCCCAGGCCTGGCTCAGCAAAAGAGCACTTTGGTGGCAATGCCAGCTCCATCTTATCACACAAACCCTGGTCTGCCTGTGGGTAGCATCCAGGATTCTAGAAAGCCACTTTGTCAGCTTGTTTTGTGCCTTTCCCCTTTCTACTCTCCCCCTACCCCCTCCTACTCAATGTTGTTTTCTTTGATAAAACTAGTATAAATAATATCTTAGTATAATTTAACAAGTAGCAAGATTAAAAAAATAAATTAACTGTTCTCCTGCCATTTGACTAAACCTATTAAAAGTCTTTGTTTCCTTTTGTACCATCTCTGGTAAGAGATGGTAAGAGACTGAGAAGTAGTTGTAGAGAAGCAGAAGCAGCTGAACGGGAGAACAGTAGGGGTCTGGCAAGAAATGGTTTGGTGGGCTTTCTGGCTCACAGAGCGAGAAAGCTGAGCACCTTCAGACATAAGGCTTACTAGCAGAATAGTGTGCCTTCTGGCTAGGCTCACTGATCCATGGAGCTAAAGAACTGAGCATCTTGGGCCAAGACCTTTTGACAGAGTAGGGTGCCTCTGTGTAGATAGCAGTTAAAAACTGCTTTGTAACACTTAAAAGTACTTTGTAACACCTAACCAGGACAGTGCTTGGGTCAGTCCAAAAGGCTGATGGCTGAGAGACCTGCCTATCAATGTGGCTGGAAGCTGTCCTAACTGAAGAATTGTATTCTTAATTATTCCTGATCCTGAATTGTAATGTTTCCTACTAAACACCAGAACTATGAGTATGGTCTGTGAGTTCTATGTGACTGCTGTGGTCACGTTAGCAGTGCTGAGGCATGAGGAGGGTGGTGATACGTTGACATCATAACAATCAGCCTTGGACTATTGATGCTGATAATGATTCTCTTCCCTTGTAAAGTCTAAATATGCGGCTTCATTTTTACAATGCACTATCATCATAGCCTGTTTTTTTCCACTTAAAAATCTTGCTATAGAATCATCTATACTACCACGTGTAGATTTTTTGAGTGATTATAATATAATTTACTTAAATATTCTACTCTTAAACAATTTACCCTCTTCTAAATAATAAGCTACCATGGGTATTTAATTTTAGAATATAGATTTGTAAAAACTTTTATGAATTAGATGAAAGCTTACAGTCTTACATTCAACGTTTTATAATATAGTTTGCAATCCATTGGTGCCATCACTGATCCGGTGTCCTCCCTGTGTCTCCTGGTCCCATTCCTCCTCTTCTCGGCATCCTCTGCACTGCCTCTTGGATATTGAATACAGTATGTATGACAGAGTCCCTGAGTGCATGGAAAGAGGTTGTACAGTTTATAACCCTTGAAACCTATTGCCAAGTATCTTGTTCCAACAGTGGTTGAGTTACAGTTTACCAGGGAAATAGTCATATCATCTGTGGGTAATGACTAATATATCACTAAAGGAAAGGAAAAACAGAAATGTCTCAGTTCTGTTTCAGGACATGTTACATTGGTCAGACCTTATAGAACAATAGTAAATAAAAATGATGATACTATATATTTTTATCTCCCAGATTTAAAGAGATGTCTAAATCATTCTTTCATAGGTCTCATGGTAATTGGGTTTAATTTAGGTATGATATGCTAAAGTAAGGAAAAAATGCAAAATTTTTATGAAAAGTCTTTTCAGAACCCATTTAGAAACCAATTACAAACAAACAAAATCAATCAATATATATCTTATTATTACATTTTCTCCTAGCATTTTCAGTAATTTTGAAAAATAAACCACAAGGTTGATGTGTGCTTCCTTTGTAGCTCCCAATACAGTACCTGGCTCACAAAGGATGCTCACTAATTACTTAAAGAATGAAAGGCAGCCCCTTACAATGAGTGGGTTGAATTAGAACACTGCTTGTCATCTTTCCCCTCAAAGCGCTGACCCGTTTTATTTTCTTTGTCAGCATATGATTCACATAGTTTCTTGACAGTGTGGTATTGAACACAGATGGGCTTAGAAATGTGACCTTTGATTTTAGGATGGGGTTTTTTTGTTTGCAGGTACTCCTCGGTTTCATTTGAAGAACTTCAAAAAAAAGGGGAAGACAGTATTTTTATGCAAATGTTTTCCTAAAAACTAGTTCCAACAACTCAAAAGTTGTTGTTAGTTTGCTTTGTATGCATTGCTGATTAATAAGTTACCACATTCTTGGCTGCATTGGCTTTTCAATTAAATTGTATGCCCTCACTTCTGCTCATAATATTCCCTGAAAATCTGAGGAGCAATAAGAGGTGAGTTATTTCTTTTAAAGACCCAGGAAAGAAAAGAGCCTGATGGAGAAACTGCTCAAGTGACGAGGAAGTTTTGTCAGGACGAATGCAGGAAGTATCCCACTAGACTGAATTTTCAGGTTGGTTTGGAGTTACGTATTGGGAAAGAGATGGTGCGGTATTGTTTAAAAACTTCAGAAAGAGACTAAGAAATTTTGAATGTGGAAGATGTGCTTCAGAAACATACCACAGGAAAAATGTCAGAGGGGCAGTGGCTGACACAGATCCATGAAATGGGGGTTGGAGCATGTTTGCATGTAGAGTTATCAACTTCCTCCTGGATTCCTTTTCTGGGCATAGCTCCTGGTGGCGATGTCTCCACCCCTTGTCAGAATCTCTGTGTCCATAAGCCTGCTATGGGTGCCCAGCACCACCTGGGGAAAAGCCGTCAGTGTCCTTCTAAGCCAGTGTTTCCTCAAGCAGGCAATACCATGTCCCTGGGGGGTAGGGGGCGGGGGGCGGCACTGGAATGATTCATGGGGGCTGCAGAAGCAGATCCCTACACTTGATCCTGGATTATGGATTATAGAATGAACGTTTTTAATTGCCAGAGGGGCACTGAGGAATTTTCTTTCTGAGAAGGGGATGGTAGGTCAAACCAGTTTGAGAACCGATGTTGTAAGCAGGATGCCTAGACTGTATTTGGTTCTTTTTGTTTTCAGTACCTTTGTACCACCTCTGAACTCACCTCATGAATGAGAGAGGACAACATGGCACCCGCTGCATTTTAGACACTTTAAAAAATCTTACTTTCTTAAGCTTGACTACCTTCTGGATCCTTTCTGATTCTGAGTGCCCTTTGTTGTATGAGATGGACTAGGTAGTAGATATGTGGTTTGCATGTATCACAGAAGAGGTATCTTGACTTGTGTATTTCCTAGGTTGTGCAAACAGTTAAACATTTGTCTAATAACCAAAAAGTGAGGGTTACAGTCTCCATACAGTCTCGTTCTAAGAAAGGCCTGACCAGCCACTTGCATAAAGAAACCAACCACTGGAGCCCCTGGGGAGCCTGATTCTACTGTGACAGACGAGGGGCAGCTGTGAGTTAGAATCAACTCTATGGCATCTGGATATTTTTCAGAGGTCTTCCTGAACTAAATTATTTTTATGCCCATAAGTTTCATTGCGTTCTCTCAATTCTTGAAGCGTAAAATGATAGGAGTACATAGTCCTCCTCCCTTGGCATGTTCAGAGTTCGAGTTATAGTACATTTGAAGCTTCAGGCTTGGTGGCGCCTGAGCTTGTGATCTTTGGATTCTACCTCTAGTTTCCAAGCTGTCTGCATATGTGATTTCTTTCCTAAAAGTCAGCTTGAGGTTGTTTGTAAAAACCGTGGATGCTCACACCTCCGCACTGCCACCTTGGTCTCTAGAGCTGGCAGTATGTATCCTCTGCACTGGGACAAGTAAAGGCTTGCTATTTTTGAGAAATTCTAGGCTTCAGGACTCGTGACTTACGAGGTAGGAACAGGAATGGCTCATGGCCAAGAGGCAGAGAACTGAGGCAAATACTGCCAGCCCTGACACCATTCCTGCCCTGAGCTAAACTTGGTCTTCTGCTCATGCCGGAAGAGCTATAAACCAGAGGTTCTCAACCTGGGGGTCACCCGATTCATAACAGTAGCAAAATTAGAGTTGTGAAGTAGCAATGAAAGTAATTTGATGGTTGGGGTCACCACAACATGAGGAACCGTATTAAAGGGTTGCAGCAGTAGGAAGGTTGAGAACCACTGCTCTGAACTATCACTGGCCCTGTGGGGCCTCTAGCTGCCTGTAGATGCAAAGCTCTCCCTGACTATCTGATCCTGATAAACCGGCACACAGCCTGTGTAAAGGGGGCACTGTGACTCAGCCCCAGTTGACTGGCCCTAATACTGATAGATATTCTAGTTTAAAAATTATATATCAATGTTTCTATTTTTAAAATATCGATTTACTGTACTTTAATAAAGACAATTGAGTTGTATTCAATTATTATAGCCCTTCTAGCCATAATTTCTTTTCTTTTTTTTTTTTAAATCACTTTATTGGGAGCTCTTAACTGTTCTTATAATAATCCATACATCAATTGTGTCGAGCATATTTGTATATATGTTGCCATCATTATTTTATACATATTTACTTTCTATTTGAGCCCTTGCTATCAGCTCCTCTTTTTTTCCCCTCCTTCCCCCATCCTATACTTGTAGCCCCTTGATAAATTATAAATTATTATTATTTTTATATCTTACACGAACCACTGTTTCCCTCCCCTCTTGGTTTCTGTTGTTCATCCCCCTGGGGATTGTGGTGTGGTTATGTGTCATTCATTGCAACCAGTTCCCTCTTCCTCCCCTCCTCTCCCCACCTTCCCTCTACCCTCTTGGCATCCCTACTCCCATTTCTGTTCCTGAGGGTTTTATCTAACCTGGATTCCATGTGACTTGAGATCTTATCTGTA